TCAGATTCTCAGATTTAATATAATTTAACCACATAATATTTGTTTAGCTATATTCTACTTATTAAACAGACGCAATTTAAGAGGGATTTGTGTGCCTAATGCCCTATTACTCATAGTTTTGAAATGATCTTCGACCTTCATAATTAATGTCATTTTTGGTTAATATTTATTCTTATTTTGTATTAATTAATGGATATGTTCAGTTATAGAAACAATAAAAATACCAACCTAACCTTAAGTTTTTTTTTTTTTTTTTTATCAAAATTGCACCCTCGTTGCTAAATTGCTTAACAAAAATATTTTTGAGCATTATTTTAACACAAGACGGTTAACCATTCACCAACAATTTTAAGTAGGTAACCGAGCGCATAAGACGTACAGTCAACTTCGGAACAACCATAAAGTATTAAATGATTATTTGCCTATCATATTTAATAAGTTAGATGAATAATAGTCTGAAAAGAGGAAAATTAGGTAACTGCTCTGCTGTACAATCTTCAAATTTCAAAAGCACTCAAAATTCAATTTCATCTTACGAGTACTGCGGTTAAGTTACCACAACACTCGTTTGATACGAAAAACAAAATATTAGATATACAATACTGCAGGGTTTGAAATGTATATTTAAAAAGTACCTCTATTGATGCCACGGTGACGCATTTCAATATTAAATCTTTGTTTTGATTTACATTTTCCATTATATTGTATTATTTTTTGATGTATCAAATTAGAATAAATAATTTTCATGAATAATGTTATATTGTTTTATTGAAAATAACACGTACGTTTAAAGTTAAAAACAACGAAATAATTCTATTTGACGTACCTACAATTTTGTTCTAATCTATAATTTAGGTACCAATATAACGATTAATGAGCATAGTTAATTTTTATGTTATTGTTTATGCGTAAAAAATTAAAACTGTCATTTTGATTTACGTGTTATTTTCGGGATGACAACTACCTACCGATTACTACACATTATAGCGGTTATAGTTCACTCTAAAAAAATGTAATTTTGACTGCGATAAGTGATAAAACTGCAAACATCAACTTTTGGACTTCTCTAATATTCACTTACGGATGCGACATTGTATACAAATTTGTTTGCCGACAACCAAAACAACAAACACTGATACCATGTAAGTCGTCGCAACATCGTCGCATCTATTCCTTTCTCAGTTCTCGCTGTTTAAAATATGTTAGTTAATTTCGAACTCAAGATCTTCCATGCCAATGAGAACCATTGTTTTTATCTCTGTTATGGTTATAACTTATAAGTTATGACTGATAACTTATGTTGACAAGTAAACGTACCGTTTATAAAAAGGCATGTAATTTGTTTAATTTTCACGGTGAAGGCAGGAATCTTGTATAACCATATTCCCATATCAATGGCCTCAACAAACCACAAAAATCACAATTAAAATATTGTGATAACATCAGGTTTTTGTTATTCAGTTATTGGCACAAACCGGATAACTGATAAGCTACAGATTATAGAACAAAAATATTTAAACATTATGATAATTTTATAGTTTTCGATTCGATGTATTGTAGATTCCTTTTTAAATATTTAGTCTTGATAATTGTTAATTTCATTGGCAAATCAATGTAGTTCAAAAAAAAAATTAAACCATCTTCTAGTGTTTATAAAGTTGAAAAATGGAAGTTTATACTAAAGCCCCGACCGATTACAGAATTGAAAACGTCAATATTTCATCGAGGTAATAATTTAATTATTAGGACGATTATAAATTCCACCTGTATAATATTTTATCTGTGAAAAGCATGTCAATTTCACTAATATTATCTTCTGATCTGTAAAATAAACAAATTTTATCAAAATTATTATGAAATTTATTGTTGAATGACATAGATCAAACTCAGGCTATATTTTTTATTGCTTAATTGTTTGAAATGTTTGATTATTGTGTATATTATGATAATCATACACATTTTGTAAAGTATACAACTTGTCGTACGGTGTTAAGTTCTAATACAGCATAAAACTAAATTTTCTTAAATCAGTAATCATTTTTGATAAATTTTATTTTATTTGTTAGGTATCATGTATATATATATATATTTGTGCTTACAAATTTGGATTGCATTTTTTTTATAGTATCTATGAGACTTTTAATTATTTTGTATTGATGAAATTTTTATACTATAAAACTGATTCTAATTTTGGTAGACTTTACGTGTGTCCAGTAATTAGTTGTAAATTTTAATTATGTTAATATTTTCTTATAATAAACGAAAACAGGTTTAGGTTTTCATATATTTGTACTCGTTAAATAAAATCTTCCTTAAGTAAAATATTTTAATACTCATTTCTAGGGCACAGATGTTACATTTGCAACTTTTTTTCTACTTTTTTAATTAATTGCTAAGTAAGTTTAAAATGTGTGTCATGTAAATATGAACTAAAATCTAAAGTTTTAAGTGCAATTTTCTACAATTTTTGAAATTTATGATTTTTATTGTAATTTTATTGAATTTACTCATTTATAAAATAATTTTAACAATTTTTTTAAAGTTTTTCACATAATTTCATTTCTTTAATACTTTTTAAACGGTTTTGTAAATATTGTTAGAGGGTTTACCAGACGATTTGGCGATAAGCGATTTAGTTTTAAGTATGCTCCACTAATATCAACCGATGTAGAATGAAGTTTTTCAAGGTATAAAAATTCACTGACTCCAAACCGAAAGACATTGGATTTTTAATATTTTAAAAGCAATTTTTGGTATATTTTAGTGCATTACTGGCTACTGCAATCAATTTTACTAGTTTTTTAGTACTACATTTGTGCCCTACTCATTTCTGTCTTACAGATTTATGTGCTTAGTAAATTTGTATTCAGCAAAACCAATTTTGTGTTATTAGCCTTAATATTACTATTAGATCAAGTTAAAACACTATCAAACTTAAAGATGTTTCATAGATTTTTATGATTTGATTTCTAAATTCTAATTAAGTTTTTTTAAAATTGTTTTGATTAATAAATTTGTTACTTTAAAATTGAAATATTGTATAAAATCAATGTACAAATACAAATAGTGTTTTTATTTTAAAGTTTAGTAATAGGTCAACTCACTTTAATATTAAAGCTTACAACATAAAGTTATTTATCTACAAGAAGGAAGTAGTAAATACAGGTGTAATTTTTTTCTAAGTCTTCGTGGTCTATAGTTGTAGTTTTTATTTTTTCTTAAACATTTTCAAACAGTAAGGTGGTCCCTATGTTTTTGAAAAGATGGTTTTTAATAATAAAAAAAAAAATGTTAATATTCCTTGCTTTAATTGATTTTTAAGCTTTATTTATATTTATTAACCTAAAATATTATAATTAATAATTAAATTATAAATAATAATATTATATTATTATTAACCTATCAAAAGATTAAGTTATAATTAGTGAACACTTAAAATTGATAACTTCTTATTTATTTTTTAATTTACAACTTTTAAAATAATATTTTACCAAATAAACACAATGTTACTATTTGTCTGTAAATGTATACATAGACTATAATATATACCATATAATGTATACTAATACTTAAACAACCAATATAAATGACCATTGTAATATAAATCCAATTCGTTATTTATATATATCTAGAATCAAAGGAAAACATTGATAATCATATTATGACTGCATGTTCTTATAATGACACATGTATAAATAACTATAGAATTGACTAGTCTCTAATCTGAAATGATATAATAATATTAATAATAACTGTAATTAAAAATATCTATGTAAAATATTTTCTTAATCGTCGTGAGACATAAATGATTTCTATTAAGATTTAAGAAACAATCAATGTATATTATACATACTGTAATTTTATCAATTTAAATATAATATTATACTGTTCATAAATGATTTATTTAATGTTATTAAATTCTATTGGTTTCTTTTTATTTATATTAAAAATTAATTACATAAATTATAAAAATGTATTATGCATCAGACATTACTTAATGATTTGAAATGATGAATATAATTCACTATAGTTAGTGATAGATTTCATTTCTTTTGAATGTCACATTAATTATGCATGGTTTCTCATTTCTGAATCTAATTTAATTGCTATAATTTTTTTCTAATAATCTCATAAATTAATCAAATATAATCGTATTTTAAATTATAAAATAAAATGTTTATAAATAAATTATCTTTGTAAGTAATAGTTAATATTATACTTACAGTATTTTTTACAAGCTGTTTATGCACATTGCACATTTCTGGTATTTACAATATAAACAAATAGTTTTCTTTTTCTTAAATTTAATAATAAAGATAAAAAAATAAAACATTTATTGCAATGTTTATTTCATTTTATTAATTAGCTTGTTTTATAATTTTTACATGTATTAGTTATAATTTTGTATAGAAGTATCTAACATTTATTACTTATTAAAAGTAATTTACAATGATAGATATTATATATTATGAATCTAAATTTAAAATCAATATTTGTATTTATTATACATTTCTTTGTACAGTTTACTTAGTGATTTTTTACATTAATAATTTTTTTTAACAAAAAATTGATAGTCATCTTACACAATTAAAGCTGTATTTACTGCACTTTAATTATTGATTAATTGTGATTGTTAACATGTTTTTTAAATGTTATGTGTAATCATTTTATAATTATTTCAGTGAAGGACCAAAAATAGAAAAACACATAATTATTGATTTGTCAACTGAAAAAAACACTAGTAAAAGTATCAGAATGTCGGTGTTGCAGCTCAACAATTTAAAACACAACGTTGCTAATTTATTGAAGCATACCAATCGCCTTAAGACAAAACTTCAACAAAATTAACATTAATAAATTAAATGTAAAAAAATAATCACGATAAAAATAATAGTTAACAATGTGGTATTTGTATAAAATATAAGGCTGGAATGTATGTTTGATATTTAAATAGTATGAAATTATTGTAATTATTCTAATGTAAATTTTATTATACAATTATTAAATATACTCAGTGCACACAAATAAATTATGTTTTCTATATTATATAATATATTAAGATTACTTATTGAGAAAATTTGTGGTTTTCTGACTAAGTACAATACTTTATGTTTCCAAGTAAGTTGACACTAGAATCTTATAGAAATCTAAAAATAATAAGAACAAATCGAATACTGTAGTGATGACTGAATAACCGATGAGATTTCTTACACAGTTTTTAATAATTACAACGATACTGTTTCACTAAAATTTTAATTTTACGATCCTATTTGTAATTATCCTTTTTCATAGACTTTTCGATTTCAAGTGCCAATTTATAGCCCAGCTCAGGCCTCCTGTCGCGCCCTTCGACCATTGTTTTTATCTAGAAGGATTAAAAATAAAAAACAAAATTATTATTCATAGTTGCTTATTATATAGTCGAGTTTAGATAACTCAAAATCCTCAATAATTCGAATTTTTTACTAATTCTTGAAAATGTCTTTACACTGAGATCTCTTAGTATTATTAAGATTTATACTCACGTCGAATAATAATTAGAGTGATCTAATAGGATAGGTGGTAATCTGTCACCATTGTCCTTTACGACACACTTGGGAATTTAGTCGTTTGCAATATTTTAACAATGCGCTGTGATGAGTAAAGTCGAATTGCAATTCGATTCATGAAAAGTAATGATCGAATATTCGAATCTCACTCTTACTCGACATTAAGTACATAATATTGATGAGCTGAAAAATCGAAGTGGAGTTCGGGATCATTTAACTTAATATTTGTACAACTCGTTATTGCCACGTTGAATTTACAATTGTCAAATTGTCATACAATCTTATACTTCTTAAATTTATCAATATAACGTTTACAATGATCAAATTCTTCATAGTTGTTTACAACATTTTTAAACTAGGTAAAACTTAAAAGGTAGATAATAGGCGCTGTATTAAATTTTACTTATTCAAATTATAAAATGATTGTAATTATAGAAAACTAAATAATAAGTAAAAATGTTTGGGTGTCGAACATCACTACCTTTAATGAACCTGTCATCACAGCCCACAGGTTATGGTTAGGTTAGGTTATGCGCAAAATGGATTTGTATCAAAAACTCGCTGTGGCGTCTACTTAAAGTATAATAATTATCGAATTTTCCAAACGAAACTATTGGAGAAATTGATATCGCGACTTGTTAAAAATGTGTTTCTAAAATCTTAAATGCGTCACTAGTCACTATCCTTACTACAAATTTAATACCTATTAGATTACTATAGATCCTCAGTATACGTTGGAAATACGACCATAACCCTTTGTGTTGCATAAAACATGGACAGTTGACAGATCATCGACCTCATTTAGTCTTTAGTCCTCTCTAAATTATGGATTACTTATATTTGTGTTTTTAAAACTTTTTAATTCACCTCGTGTGATTGAACGATGACACCGTGATTTTTGATTACATTGTTTTTGGTCTTTTCAATGTCGTTCAAATCGACGCCGCGGCAACAGTCATCGATCAATATTGTTCTATATCCGATGGACAACGCATCCGCTGCGGTCGCACCTGAAATAAAAAAAAGTCCCTGAAATTGAAATGTAAAACAACTATATAATAACGACACACAATCACAGAACAACAACAAAACCGTCACGCATAGTAATGAAACGATAAAAACGATTATAATAATTACAAATTAGAATGATGATTAGTGGCGAACGGATGTAAACCTAATTTTACATTTAACTATTTAGGTATCTACTGGTCATTGTAAAATGTACGAAGCCAGAGACGTCATTAAGGGGAGTGAAAAGGAGTGGCAGTGTCAGCATAACTGGTTTTTGATCTAGTGGAAAATTTAGATGTGCTACATTTTTATGTCGCATACAATCATAACCTTCTGGCATAACAAAAAAATTATTTTTTGAGATGATTCTTGTATTAAATCACATCCGTTTGTAAATAGGTCAACGCAATAATATTTACGCGTTAGATGCTGAAATAAAGTATTAAATTTGGGCATTCCTAAATTTAAAAATTTTTAAAATAAATCAAAATTACTTATACAAAATAATATTCGTATATATGTCAAGTTATTGGTTTCGAAATATTGAATTAATGATTACTGCAGGTCGTGGATCATAGAGATGTTTAGAAATATTTTTCAGATTTAATCAAGAGTGTTTTTTTGCGAAATTCTTATAGTTTATCATTCCTTATAGAAAATAATTGATTCCTCAATACATAAAAATAACTTTTGAGCTAAGTAATTTAAATTCTTAATCTGGGCTATTGCCACAGAGGCCGAACACTTATGTCGCATGAATAAGTATATAATATGTTAATATAATTAATTTCGCCATCGACGACGATGTAGATGAACTTAACATATACAAACAATAATGTAGTTTATTACCGACGCAAACATCGTACGCCAACCCGCACACGTAAATATCGGTTGCATTCAACTGAGCTAACTGTGTGCCTAATGTGGTCTGGGTTAATTTTTTGTTGTCCCAAAACACCGAGTACGAATCTACGTCCGATATCGTTCCTTTATATATTTTTACTGCGTTATCCACTACCTATATAAACATAAAACGTGTTTTGTGTACATTGTCTTTCGTAATTATATATATACATTGAAACCTTCATACAACGATGTTTTATGGTTGACAAAAATGTGATATATAGAATTAGTTACATGGTTAGAAAAATACATATTTTAATAAATAGAACATTTCGTTAAAACGTAAATTTATTGTATGGAAGTTTCACTGTACCTTAATATAACAGGCGTACCTTCAAGTCTTTATAGAGTTGAGCACCCCACGAGTCTTGGACACAGTGCTTTGGCCATAAACGTTGTTTTATCTTCGGAGATCCCTCAAATATTACGGTATCGTATAATTTTGCGTTATCGGCTTTGATCTGCAAATAAACATTATTAATTACTTAATCGAAATTTGGTTGTTTTTTTTTTACCTGGGACGACGGGTCTAATGGACGCAAAGACAAGTTCTCGATGAACGATATGTGATCGATCGGGTGCCAGTCGAATGAATAAAATACAGAATCGAAATTGACAGTATCCAATAGATGGTTGATAGGCTCGATGACCTGAATAAATATTGCATTAAATCGTTTAACAAAACAATAGGTACGCAACGAGCAAGCCATTCTTATTTCAGTTAACATATTTATACCTCCAATCCATTCTGTTGCGCAGAACAGTTGCTGATATTCAACGAACCAGATATAAAATCGTTTTGGACGTCGATTATAAGGAATATGTTGACAGGTCTTATAATCTGCAATATAAATTAAGATGCCATCTGTATCAGAGTTATATCTTGTGCGAGAATAGGTCCTAGTCTTATGGGATTATTGATCTAGAGAATATAATATATATATATATATATATATATAGAATAGTGTATAGATCTCAAATAGTAACATTTATTTTAGCTAGGGGATACCATTGATATTAGTATTTATAATCAATGGTAGTATTTGAAACTTATTATGTATACATTATATATACATTATAAGCAAGTGAAAGCAGTACATTACATATCTCGATAATATACGTATTAATAATTATTCAATTCGGTCATTCAGTAATCTCAATGTGTCGTCATACTTACTGTCTTGATCCATTTGTTCCAACACATTGTGAATTCTTGCCGATCGATCAAACCGTCCTGAAATTAAAAATAGCAAGATTATTTAATAATTATTTATTTAACTTTTTAATCCTTGCCAGTTGCTTCACATACCTTTTTCGTATCAAATATGTTAAATATATGTTTGAGGGTGTGGACATCGAGACTATACACAATTCCGCGGTCATTTCGGAAGAGTCCTTTGCAGATTCCATCGAACTCTTCAATGTTTAAATAACCATCGCTATAAACAAAAAATGGATTGTAGAGAGTGTAGGTAATTTAAAAAATAGCCCCCGACCAATCAATCCATTTTGCATTTTCATCCACGGCCAAAGTCTAATATTAATAAGCCACGCCCGCATATGTCGTAAAATTACAATTGAATTTTAAATGCCAATATTATTTTTTTAATAACTATATGTTTATATGTGAGTTTTGTTTTAATACATGTACACAAATATGTTCTACGTTTGGGTCATTGAAAATTGACCCAGATAACATTAGGCACACATCAAAACACAATCTAGTTGCGCTTTAACTGCAAAAACTCCAGAAAACTAATTAAAAAAAAAGTTATAATGTATATAAGTGAGCAACTCTGATTACATAGTATATCCTAAATAATAGCATTAATACCTTTTATAGTTTTATAATGGGTCAATTAATTTTAGTATTAAAAAAGTGTAATAATTGATTCTTCTGAACGTAAAAATTACTACCATGCATTAATAAGATGGAAACAACATTTATTTAATTAAATGTTCTATGTGTAGATTATAGGTGTTCACAGTCTACGCAACTACATATTATGCCAATAAATAGGACCTTAACCTTATAATCTAGCCATTTATCACATAAATTTGTTTAAAACCAATTTAATTATAAATTAATTTTGTATACATCCATTCAATTAAATAATAATAATTATTAATGTCCGGTTTCAAATTTAATTTTAATTTTATATTTAATAATAATATATTAATATGGAAAATACTTATTTTTTATTAATGACTTATTTTATACGACTATGTAATTTGAAATGTATAGGTGCAAAATTCAAAGTTTGTGTTCATACACAGACGATATTCACGTGATTCATGAATGATATGACAGCATGGGATAATGTTTAATTCTAAACTTTCCTTTAATGTTTTTCTGGTGTATTAGGGTCAAAACTCAAGTAAATAAGTGCTTGAGATTACAGCATTGAGTACAAAAAGAGCCCCAAATTTAATATTTTAGGTGATTCTCACTATTCCAATATACTTACAACACGTGACATCTTGTATAAATCTATGACGATGTGGACTACAATATAAGTATTTATGACAATATACAAGTATAATATTACACTGATTAATTATTCATTTGGATTTTTGACACCATTCATCAATATGTATATTGTATATATATATATATATATATATAAGTAAACTAAATTGACCCAATTCATAACACGAACTTCAACATTCTGCAATAACTTAAAAAAGTCAAAATCCCGATATATTTAAAACGGAACAATCATCAAGTATTATTGATAATCGTAAAACAAATATCAAAATACTAGCCACTAAAAATTAGAGTATTCATTTAAAATTTAGAAAACGTAGTATACTTCGAAAAACGAAAACGAAATTTATTATGTATAAAGCTATAATATTATAAGTACTTGCCAGTTACTTGTGAACGATATAATTATAGTAATATAAATTTAAAACAAGTACTAGTCAATATTTTGTAATGGTTTACGCTAAAATAATTATATATATATATATAATTTATATAATATACCTCATAAATTAACGTTTAGGTGTGTCATATAATTTTAAATAATTGTTATACACATAAAAACTAGGATGATATTTAAAAAATGTTTCGTATTTTTGTATTCAACAAATAAAAATTATTAAATTTAGAGTATGTATATTTTTAGATTCAATATTTACTTAAAAATATTATGAACATTTTATCTATATATATATATACTAATAGTAATATTTTTCCTTAGATAAATATATATTATTGTAATATTTTTCTAATTGTTATGATATTATACTATAATACAGATCACGATTATTTTAATGCAATTAATTAAAATAGTATAGGTAACACTAGAACTCGTACTTTACGTATCTATAAACTTATTAAACAATTTTACGCGTTAATCTTTATACATTTATAATCAAACTATTTCTACTCAATTAATATTTGTATGGATTGAGTATCGAATATATTAACTTATATAGAACCTATCTATAAACAGTTGGAAAGGTTAAAGTCAACTATAGTGAGCATGAGCCAAACTTGAATTAGTTAGTTTAATTTAAACTATAAAGCACATAGCAGTTTAATTTAAATTCAAATTATTTTTTTTCTAAAACCATATTTTGCGTAATTTTTAATTTTTCCAATAAATTTAAAGAACATTTTTAAAATACTTTTTTTATAACATTTATAACGTTAAAGTATACATACAAGATTTTTAAATAATATGGCACCAAATCTAGATACATACATGACTTTTTAATCAACAATACAAATTATATAATTTTATATGGTTATAATATTATAATAATTCATCATTTTTAAAACAATCGTTGAGACAGTGTTTTATTTATTTACTATCTCTCTAAAAATTCGTGAAACATTGATTATCCTCACCTACTATACCAATAGTATTTATATTCTAACGGTTGCCAAGAAATTATAGGTAGGTACAATGTAGAATCGATACACCTCAAGGTTTAATAGTTTTTAGTGTATCAAAATACTGTGAACGCTTTAAATACCTTGCCATTAGTATATATATAGATACGATGACTTACGTGTTTACTTTAATGAATATTATAGCTAAAGCAAAAGTAAAGTTATACCTAGTGATTAATAATAATAAATGTATTATTTGTAATGTAGTTCATTATTTAAATATCAAACCTCGATTGGATAGGCAAATATATAAGCAATTATTTACGCTCAAAGTGATAACCTAAAATTTCTAAAAGATTTTATAAAATAAAAACTTTTTGTATACAAGTAGTAAACTTGAAAATTAAATCACACAGAAAACCTATGTATAGGTACATAATGTTATTAAATATATAAATATATAAAAAATGTAACATTTAAACTTTTTCATCATTTTCACTGTTACTGACTGCTATTATTTAAGTTAAGTAGGTATTAGATTTTTACTTATTTGTACATCGGTTATTTCTATCGTCTAAAATAAATGTAATCAGAAATCACTATGTGAAAATGAAATGCATCAAAATATCTAATAAGCCAATCTGAATAACAACGAATATATATAATATTATATACTATATACGTAGGAGCATATCGTATATAACTATAGTAATAACATATTATATAAATACATACAACACTACATATATACTATACCTAATATACAATAACTAATAATTAACAAGTAATAACAGTATGTATATTAAAAAATGCAAAAAAGGAACAAATAGTGCAATTATTTAGGTGTGCTTACAAATCAGAATATAATTAATGTGTGACCGTAAATCCTTGAATATTACAATGGATCAAATAATGTTAATGTACAAATATAGGTAAAGGGTGAAGGGAATATAATATTATACAACATATATTATGTTTAAAAAAAAAAAAAGGCGGGACGTAATTAACGACACTGTGAAATGGGTATTTATGGGAGCGGATGAGTTATTGTAAAATGATAATAAGACAATAAAGAAAAAATACGCAAATTTCTAAGATAAAAACCTTGCCGACAGCAGTATTGTAAGAAACAAAAATTTGTAATCACCAAAATAACCGGTAATATGTAGGTAACGTTTACCAGCTATACAACACCATCACAAGAGGCCGAAATGACCGTTTAAAACAATAATAATATGATAAATAAAAAATAAAAAATTACATTTATTGTCGAGGAACTCTTTTTTATTAATAGTCGATTCCTATATAATGACACCTGATAAATAATAAATAGTTTTTGCTAATAAATGTTCGTGTTTGTGCACCACACGTCCCAATTGTTGATAGGTGGTTTGGTATGTAGTATAGAAGTTAGTAGTACCAATTTAATTTATATTAACATAGGCAAAAAAGTAGTCATCCCTTATCTTTCTTTTAATATATAATTATTAAATTAGGTAATTAATTTGTTTATATACGTTACATTAAGATTATTCAATTAAATAAAGAGGTATCTAGTGATTCAATTATTTAGAAGGCCAAAATATAGTACAGCTATTATATATTATAAATTTATAAATAATAAACCAGATATTGAACGAATTAAGTTCATTGAAACTATTATGCCAACACATGAACGATCAACTTAAATAATATAATATATGATTGAATGACTTGACTCATCAAGGCTAACCTACCAAATCATAAGGCTAACTTTATCAATTAAACAAACCATCGTTATCTACACATAGTAGAGTCACTAGGGAGTTTTTAAAGACCACAGTTAAAGATACCTAACCATAAGTGTCGATAACAATAACTGTCTATAGACTTTAATGGAGGTAAAGACTAAAGAATAACAAATTACAATAATTATTATTATTTGTAATAATAAACATCATAATTACATGATACCTATACAACGAATATCCACGCCGCACGAAAAACAGTTATCGAAATATCAAATACTGCTTGTGTCGTACAAGTTCTATAGAATTCGCACGTTTTTCGTACAGGGTTTTGATACACGGGAGGAGTCGCGCACTAATTTTCAGCTTTTCCCTCCCAATTTTTATACTGGGAATATGTCGTGTAGTGTGAATTTTGTTTTGATCATTTCGTTTTATTTTTTTCAGTTATTACACCACGCTAGTAAGTTATTATGAGTTATGTCACGAATCGTGTAGGATCTATAGAGTGGGAGATCAATGAGGGTTAATTTTGTTGAGAAAAAAAAATACTACTCGTCTAAATAATATGTTAATAAGATACGTCAAAACGATCCGATTAGTTATTCTCAGCAGTTACGCAATGAATGCAAAGTACTGTTAAAATATAATATATATGACATGTATTTTACCCGTCCTTATCGAAGGCGCTAAAGCAAGCGTCCATAATGGGCCGTGCAACTTGGCGTGTGTGACGATCGGTCGGCAGCGGATTCTAGCTTGCGAGTGACGTGCGTCCGCCGCACTGTAGTACTGCAAGCTTTCTGCTCGTCGTCGTCCGCGTGGTCCGCGTGACCGCGTGTAACGTCTATATTTACCGCGATCGCGTTGCGGACGTTGCGGTGTGTACCGTGTACGGGACGGCAACGGTCGAAGACTCGTTCCGTCGACGAGAACACCCGAACGGTGCGCTACGTATTCTGTGTATATGTCACTTGTATAACATTATTATGTACGTTACGTCTGTGTGTGTGTGTGTGTGCGATTTCGTAGATATCTGAAAAACGCAGAAAGAAAAAAAAAGAAAAAATTATGAACCTAATCGATTAAACGTTTACAACAGTATTTCGTATGTGCACGCAAACCTGTAACTGGTACTGACGACGACGACGACGGCTAGACGCGCGCGTGCAATGTGTCACATGGTAACGCGGACGTTTCGTTTTAAAACTTGGCGGTAGTGGCGTAGCACGTCGACGATTCGACAGCCGCGGGGATGGAGAGGGGAAGAGTAAGAACGACGGTGTGGGAGACAGACAAGTGTTCGTGTGAAAAGACGAAAAGTAAAACAAATTTTACCTATCTATACGCACATTAATGTAATATAAACATTACACAGGTACCTACCGCCTAAATTTTGTAATTTATATTTATTATGACGTACGCGCGCGTTCTACCCCCCACTCTACCAACATCGGACCCATTTCCGTCAATTTTCATTAATGGACGCCTTTTTGTTCCTTTTTTTTCTCACGCGACCGATTTTTTTCTTTTTCTTTTTCTTTTTTTTTATGGTACCCATATTCTTTATAAACTTATGTTTTCCATACAAATCAAATGTACCTACATACATATTATAATATTATATAGACCATCATTATCGTGCTAGAGCGCGTTTATGTAACTCAAAATTATTTTTTCGAAATTTCGCTATAACCTGAGGGTTAAGTTATAGATCTAATAGAATTCTATAGCTATACTATTATTGATTAGGTAGGTATTCATTAATGACTATACTATAAACATTGTATAACATCTTTAGATTACATATAGTATAATTATCATATGATTATTATTCATATTTTAACGCCAACATCGTTTTAATTTAAATATCAATCAATAAATAATTAAATATAAATATATTTGTTCACAAAATTTAATTTTGTACGTTTATAGACTTTATTATTATTGTTCATAATCCATTACCATAAAGTTAATTTAATTATACAAACATTTGAAAAGTAAAATTTTATTATAGCGAGTAGTGAATACATATTATTCATTTAATAATATGTTAGATTAATATACTTAATAACTGCTCTAAGAAATAATAATAACTACCATTTACCATGCAGTCATTATTAGAAAAAAAATTGTTTTAATTAAGTATATTATCTACTTAGTTTGTATGATATATTATAAAACCGTTTTATACATTGTATAATATAATTACATTTTTAAATAATGGTAATAAGATTCCAAGTAATTATTTTAAATTTTATTTTGAAATGATATTTTTCTGGTCTCGAAATGTTTAGATAGATATATTCATAGACTACCGTTTAATTTTATAGTTACTATTTTTGACAACATGTATTTTATCTGTTATTACCACAACTAATTATTAATTTAATAAGATTACAGTTTATAAGGAAAAATGTTTCGCTTATATATTATGACTATTATGAGCATTTGATCATTAACGATGACCGATACACAAATGTTTAATGTAATATCAAATGATATTCAGATTTCATGTCTAAGGTCTGCGCCCTTACTATTCAGAACAATGACTCATATCAATTAGCGTGCTGGTTTAAAATGTAACAAAAAAATATATAGTGAAAAAGAATTGAATTTAAATAATAATAACGATTAGATAAATATGAATTTAACTATATCTAATGATTGCGATATTAAAGATGTTTTATAAAGCATAACATTAATGATTAATGTAATTCGCTTTTTATGCAGAAAACTATGAGTACATGGGGCATTCAAAAATTTAGTCATTAAACAAAATTTTAAACTTAATAATCAATATTTAATAAAATCCATTATAACTTCAAATTTAATAAATACATGAGAAAATATTATAAAATATTATTATACAAAATATCAGGAGCATTGAAGAAGGCATCTACTCTTGTGCCATTATGGTAAGATACTTATAGATACTCAATTATTATAACGTCATAAATTTGTTGTATAATATTTTATTCGTATTTATATAGATATATATATATATAGATTAGGTTAGTATGTTTGGTAATTATCATTAAAAAAACTTATAGTCTTTTTGTGTATGTAAAATTACTAATTAATATAGGTAGTTATAATTATTAACAATTTATCTATCAATAAAAATAAGTATAAATGTATAGCTACATAAAAGAACAGATTTCGAATAGATATAAAATATCAAAGTTCAAAAAGTTTACCCTTCACCTTCAAGGATTTTTGTATATTTTGACGCGATGTTCATAATTTAAGGCATAAAAAGTGTTAGTGTTCTACAGAATTGCGTGTTCGAAGTTTGTTGAATATCACGAACTCATTACTCAGTTTATTGTAGATGGAAAAACTTTGATATTTTCTACTATCAAATTATTGACGCAACTGTAATTGTTTTAGTTTTAGTCAAAACAACAATTATACCAATACCTATTGTAAAAACTAGGTAAATTGATTTGCTGTATATTAGGTTTAGAGTGTGCATCGTCACTGAGTAGGTCACTTTATGAGACTTAATAATAAATCATTGTATACAAAAAATGATTCGGAGTGGAAATTATAACATCCGCCACAATTTCTAAAAATATTATAAAATTTATATTACAAATTTAATATATGTTTTACTATGTACTATAGTGGATAATTACTATTTGATTTGTAAGGATTCTATTATAAAATAATAATTTTAATATTATATCACATATACATATATCATACATCATATGTGTGCGTGTGTATTGTGGATAGAAAATAATAATATTCCTATGTAAAAATAAAAAGTTTGCAGTACTCAAAAAATATTTTTTTTGATCTATTAAATAATAACTAAAATAGTTAAGAATAAAAATCTACTAATATGTCTATATTAATTGCAGGTTTTACTATATGTGCTTATTTATTTTTGGCTCGCATGAAAGTGTACACGATTTTAATCAAAAAAAATGCTTATAGACTCTTATTTTCAAATAATAAACATATTGATATTGCCTTAATTACAGAAATGCATTGTACCCCATACTCAAATATACATATACCCGGTTATAGGCTCCATAAAGTCAATCATCTTGACATTACAGCCCATCAAAGTGTCGCAATCTTAGTTTAATCTACAATAATATATCAATCTCTTCCAAGCTTCCGTGAAGATATTTTTTTAATCTTGCGCTATTCAAATCATCTTAATAATGTTCCAATC